AGACCATGCATGCTCATGTGCCAACTCTAGCACATGCTGCCGCCAGCCACCGGGAATCACTATTTGATACACAGTACCCCAGTCCTCATTTCTGTCACTAGGCTGTGACATCCACTTACGCATGAGCACACCTTCATCCACAAAGAAACACTGTTTCTCACCACTCTTGATGGGGTCCTCACTTGCAGCAGCAAAACACTTGGCTAATGACCGATTAATCCTTTTGGGCTTTGATGAGTGCTACACGGGTCAGCGGCAAGGAGACAGCAGGGGCAGCACTCACACACCCTGGTTCCACAGAAGAGCCAGTCACAGACTCAATGGGTGGCACGTTTTCCTCAGACAAGACGGAAGCAAACAGAGTCAGACAAGTTAACTTCAGCTTCCGCTTTGGCTTGGGCACGAGTCAAAACAGTGTGAACACGCTGGGATAGTGGTGGGCCAGCTCATCATGTTCGGACTCTGGAATGGGAATGTCCGCGACTTCAGGGGTAGGAAAGACTTTGCCTCCTGCAATGTCATTCCCCATAATGAAATCTATGCCATTGATCGGGAAGCAAGAGCGGACAGCCACTGGGAAAAAAACAGAAACAAGGTTAGAACTGATATGCACATGATGGAGAGGTGCCAGCACAAAGCTCATCCCAATGCCCCTGACCACAGTGCTGGCATCGCACTCAGACTCTCCACCCAAGGGCAGGATACCAGAAAGGATGAACGATTGGGAGCCTCCAGTATCTCGCAGCACAACGACCTTGCGCTGGTCCTCCGGTTTGCCTGTTAGAGACACATAAGCTGTGAGAATGAAGGGTTTGAAACATTCATCTGGCTCTGTTGGAAGAGGACATTGACCAATGGGAGCCACAGTTTTAAAATCAGACCCATCCCTTTCGGCTGCTTCAAAGATGCTGCCTGCTGTTTCCGTTTCAACATTATGCATTCAGCTACAATGTGACCAGGCTTATGGCAGAAAAAACACAGTTTCTCATTGTTCTTTACACCTGACATAGCTACAGGGGTGCGGGTAGCCTGTGGGTCACTTGGTCTCTGAGGAGCATCATGGGTGGTAGAGTCGCGTTTTGTAAACATCATCTTGTGTGTGAGAGCAAATTCATCCGCCAGAGAAGCGGCCTGCTGCAGAGCGGTTACTTTTTGTTCATTTAGATACACCACTGTGAGCTCAGGTAAACAGCTCTTGAATTCCTCTAGTAACATGAGCTCTCGCACCGCGACAAGGTCATAAGCTTTACAGGCAGCACACCAGCTGTCAAACAGCAGTTCCTTCTCCTGGGCAAAATCAGTGAACGTCTGACCTGCCGCCTTCCTGAGACTGCGAAACCGCTGCCTGTAAGCCTCAGGGACCAGCTCGTACACCCGCAGAATAGCACCTTTCACTTTGTCATAGACTAAGCTGTCCTCCACTGACAGAGAGGCACATGCCTCCTGAGCTTTGCCTGACAGTTTACACTGGAGCAGTATTGCCCACACCTCCTTCGGCCAGTGTAACGCAGTCGCAATACGCTCAAATGCACCATTATATGACTCGACCTCAGACTCTCGGAAGACGGGGACCAGTGAAATGTTCTTACTCACATCAAACTTAGTGTTCGACTCACTGACAGTAGCAGGAGAGCTGGCGGTAGAATTCCGCAGCTCTAACTCACGCATCCTGATAGCTGTTTCTGCTTCTAACTTTTTCAGCTCTAACTCTTTGCGGAGCTGAAACTCCCTCTCCCTGTCTTCCCTCTCCATCTGCAGATGCGCCAAACGCACCTTCAACCGCGCACCCGACCGGGAGCCAGGAGAAGACTCAACAGATGCCGAATCAAAGTGAGGCATTGTGAACGACTTGTCATCTGGGCGCACCCGCTCAGCAGGGGTAACATTAACAGCCAAATCAGGTGGCCCAGTCGCCTCTCCCACCTGGGGAGAAGGGTGGCCGGACCCCGAGGGCTCCCCCATACCAGAGCTGCCTTCGCCTGGGGACACTACAGCCTCAGCCCCCACGCCCAGAGCATCAACGGGTAGGCCAAGAACACCCTGGCTTGCTAAGCCGCCCACAATCACTGTCCTTAAATCATCTTTTCTGAGAGAAGTGGCGACCGCAATGTCATAATGCGCAGCGACGTCAAACAAGTCACACTTTTTACACCCTAGCTGACTCAAGGTAGGATTAGCCACAAAAGCCTCCAAATCAAACACCACCATGATTACCACTACACATAAAACTCCAGCTAAGCTCACACAACACATCCACCAGCAGCCAACACAATGTCAATGATGCCTGGCGTCAAACACACCTGTCCAGCCCCACAAACAAACTTCCCCAGCTCCTGCCTAATTCACACATAACCTGTATAGCTTCTGAGGCATGCGGGGCTCGAGGCAACTTGAAAGGCAAAACATCAGCGGCCAAGACCCTGAAAACGCCTACCCCCGCCAGGGAACAACGTCCCCACCCAGGATTACCTCGAAAATATAAAAGCAAAATAACAAACGAAGTGTCGTTGGAAGGGCGGAAACAGCCCAGCTGGCCACCCCCTAACTAGGCTGAGGAAGCTGTCTAATCACCAGTGATGGCAAGACAACAACCAGACATCAACACACTGTGACAGCAACTGTAGACAAAGCACAATTTGTAGGGATCAACAATCAACAATCATCTGAAAACACATTTCCAACTCTCCTAATCGATCCCGGACGAGCCCCCAATTATGTTACGGCCCTTGATGGAGCCCAGGGCATGGAGGGCGTAACACAATGAAAAGAACCGGGATAAAAAAGATGAGAGGAAAACAGATGGTACAAACTTAGGAATTTATTTATAATAGACAAAAAAACCCACAAGAGAGGTCTCCACAACAACTGAAAGCAAGCTCTCCAAAAGGTGAGGCCGATCTACCTAAACAGGGCAACAAAACACAACGGATATTACCAGACAGTCAAGCCACCTACAAAATAGTGCTGAATAACACACTCTTCACCAAAAGAGTAATCTTACCGACAACCGGCACACAACCGCCTCTAGAAGTGGTCAAAGAATACACACACACAGCTCACCAAGTGGCTGCCTTGGGAGACTGCAAAAAGGGGAAAATCTGCCTCTCTGAGAAGGTTTTTATGCTGCCCCAGGGCCTGATGGGTAACGGCTCACAGGTGTGAGTAGTTACCAGCCATTTTCAGTAGGAGGGGAGGGGCCAAACCTGGAGACAGCAGAGAAAAGAAAAAAACAACCATCCACACACACACACGGCCCTGCAGCCGTAACACAGGGATTGAAACAAAATAAGCACATCTGCCTAAACTACCTTCCTTGTCTTTCTTTAGACTCCCTGCTTCATCTTTGATGCAAGTGAGATTAATCATTTAAAGAAAACATTTTGTAGTCACCTCCTCAAGCTAAGAAATAGTCCAAGAGCACATAACCTCCAGTAAAACCACAACACATCATGTTTACATAGTGATAGAAAGTAAATTAATATATTTACCAGTAACAGTAAGTTCTGTACAAAAGTACAAAGTTAAGGTACTTGTACTTAATTTTAATATTGTCACTAATGCCTCTTTTTACTTCATCTGCACTGCAATAAGTCCCATGCTTGCAGCTGCTATAAGGCCCTAAAATCGTTGATCACTGTGCTGCTGCTGGCAGGACAGAAAATACAACTGCTGTGTTGACCACATTTACATCCTGTCTGACTGTAAAACAAAAAGTGAAAGTTAACACATTTCCTCCCAGCTTGATGTTTTTGTGAACTCACAGCCTGCATTCTTGAAGGAACATAGAGAGAGGTAAGTGCACACTTTGCTTTATTCACTAAGAAGCACATTAATAAAATGAATATTATCAACACTGCCTTTATGAGATTAGTTAGTCTGAAAAAGATTGTGCAGTTAAACCTTCAGTGGAATATGTTGAGGTGACTGACCAAGCTGTGAAGTTCCTGACTGAAAAAAAGCTCATGTTTTCTGTCATTTTTTGAGGCCTTAAAAAAAAGCTTCCTTTGAACAGCGTGTAATCCCAGTGAGAAGCTGCATTTTCTCAGAAGCTAAGCTATTAATTAAAGTCAGCTTTGTGTTGACATGGAAAAGTATTGTTAAAACACCAATAGTGAAAGTTGAAAGTCTCCAGTTCACTTGATTATTATTACTTTTGGACCTATAGTTAAAGCAACACAGTTTTTGTCGAGAGGGAAATAATAACTTTGTGGTTAGTGCTAATTAGCAAATGTTACCACGCAAACAAGATGCCAAACTGTGATGGTAAACATAGTGAACATTATACCTGGTAGGGTCTGTACTTTGTTTATCAGAGTAGGGGGTGGCTGTGGTGTTACTTTGGGTTTTTTTATGTATCATGACCCTCCCCAGAGATACAAATATTTTTTTAAGCCTTCCTGAGTGACTGGGGAAAAAACACGACCCCTCCCTCCACCAAAAATAACCATATTGCACAATTTCTGGCCTTGATGAATAATGTGATTTTGGAGATTTTCTCTCCTAAGCCAAATCAAAAAACAGAACTTCCTCCCTAGAACTAAAAAAAATATTTGAAATGCTTCCCTTGTTCTGCACCACCCCCTCCCCTCTCACAAGTAACGAACAGTCTCCTAAACATTAGCAAATTAGCATTATCATTGTGAGCATGTTAGCCCTGTGTGAAAAAATTGCAGCATCCTCATTCATTTGAATTTGGCCAGTCCACCAGTAGGCCTACAGCTGGGCTGCTAACATAGAGGCTGTGGTTTAAAAAAAAAAACAAAACCAGAGTGGTCTGGCCAAAAAGTTGTTCCTGGCTCAACTTTTGCTAGACTGCCTTGACTTGTGACATGTTAATTACAGTTTCGTTCTCTTCAGTCATTTTGCTAAACAAGCCTCAACACGTGAATTTTAAAATGTGTTGCTGAATCATTTCTTAAAGTTCTGGTTTCAGTAAATTGTTTTGTTTGCAATGGCATTTATTTTCTTCACGTGGACACCTTCTGAAGTCTTCAGTCTAATAATCCTCTTTCCTTCAGTGATACTGACTCCAACATGGAGTACGCGTGGGATGAAGATATCTTTCTTGATCTATCCGTGGAGGAATTTCAATTTAGTGACAGAGGGGAGGATTATGTCCGGGATCCCAGTCGCATCAAGATCAGTAAAACCATCAATTCATGCCCAGTCCAACCCTCCCAAGAATGTTGTGCAAGGGGCTACAAGTAAGATCCACGAGATGTTACCAATTTATTGTCTAGGCTCATTTATGTGTGTGGATTATATGTATATATGCTTTGAGCTAAATGTTAACATACATGTTCACAATGGTTCTGTTTATGCCCCTAATGGTAACATTAGAGGAATACAGCCCATACCATTGTAGTTCAGGATGCTAGGGAGCTAATCTCAAAAATCATGGCAATCCATCCAATAGTTGTTGAAATAATTGGTGCAACAAGAGAAGCCAGGTGATCTCCAAAGTCATTAAGATACATTCAGTGGCGGTTCTAGCCTAAATGGCGCCCTTGGCAACACCCCCCGATGGCGCCCCAATGTGCACACACACACAAACACACAGACACGTGTGCGCACTTTCAGGTGAGCACACTAGAACGCAGCTCGGGCCACATTTACCTGACCGAACTGACCCGAGTCCAATGCAGTTTGTGACCTGACATAGTTATTGTTATGGACAGTGTGTAAGGGCACAAGTATACTGGCTGCGTGGCCAAACATACGCGTACATAGTGTGCTGCGCCTGTGTGTATACTTGCTGTAGCAGGGTCGTTCGTCGACGCAGCCAAAACGCCTGATACTGGTGGTCTCCGCTAGGGGCACACCACAGAGGTCGCGAAAAGTGAAGAAGGCGGTGACACTGTATTTCCGGATGTAGGCTATACACAAACATGGATACTCTCGATGAAGGGATTATAATTTTATGTCTTTTAAGATCTCGGCAGAGGAAAAGGCGTTGTCTTAGCCGCCATCGGAGATGATGTGTGCAGCCCGACCTCACGTTCACGGTCTCTAGAGGTCTACTTTGCACAAGCGCCTCTAGTGTTCATGTCAATATTGCATCTTGCGCACGCGTCACGTTACCTTGCGTCAAAGTGAGCGCCCTACGTGCCAAACGACTGCAAAATACGCATGGCAGCCATGATGCGTACACGCCTATTTGGCTCATATCAGGATCCGCTACTGGATACATTCTATAAAAGCTAAGATGTTTCACGTGATGAGTGAGCATATGGAGCTGCTGGTGGCACTACAACAAACTTTTACAGATCACTAAAGTCAGTAAGATTCATTGTCTCAGCATCATGAATTTGTGGACCACATTTCATGGCAATCAAGTCTAGTTGTTGATACATTTGTGTTTGGTGCTACTTTGGAAATTGTTACCATGCAAATAAGATGCTGAACTGTGATGTTGGACATAGTAAATATATACCTGTTAAACATTAGCACATTAGCATTATCATTGTGAGCATGTTGAAGTTAGCATTTCGCTGAAAACACTGCGGTGCCAAAGAAATGTTCGAACCAACTTCAGCCCTGTGTGAAAAATGCAGCCTCCTCATTTATTTGAATGGACTCAGTCCTCCAACACAGAAACTGTAGTTAAAACACAGAGCGGTTCGGCTAAAAAGTTGAACCTAGCTCAATTTATTCTGTAACGTCTTGTGACTTAGTGTTCCACTTTGGATCAAGTTAACAGTTTCCCTCTGCATCTTCAGTCTTTATTCAAAGTAAGGCTAAACATGTGTTCATGTATTGTTTTTAATTTGCTATAATGTTTAATTTCTTTACACAAATAATCCTCTTTCCTACAGTGATAGTGGTAGAAAGCTCAGTATGTACTACGGCACCACCAGGGAGAATGCTCAATCCATCCTGGCCAACGGTTTTCGCCAGTCTGCAGACGGGATGCTCGGCCGTGGCATCTACCTCAGCACAGAGCTGAAAAAAGCTAAACGCTATCCCATTGGTCACCCTGAGTCTGACAAGGTTGTCATTCAGGTTAAGGTCAATGTGGGGAAAGTGATCTCAATCAAATATCAAGGCCACCCTCATCAGAAAAACTGGCATGACTCCAGATATGGCCTGGTGTATGACACCGCCTGGGTGCCACCTAGGTGTGGAATCTTGAAGAGTGGTTCAGAGGACAGTTGCGTCTGGGATCCCAGTCGAATCCAGATCATTAAAATCATTGATCCACGCCCAGTCCAGCCCTCTGATGAAGGTGGTGCATGGACCTGTGCATTTTTGTGTATTATTATATTTTTATGGATTTTCTTCATATTTAGATTGTAAATTAATGACGTGCATTTTGTCATTGTAATCTGGAATATAAATGGTTCATGTTTAATCTGTGTCAGTTTAGCTATGTTAAAGACAGTGTGATGAGTATATTTTTATTTTATTGTTGCGGTGATGTGACTGCTGTTGTTATTGTCATATAAAGTAATCTTAGTATGTGTTTGCGTATAACCAAGACTAAATGTAACATGTATGTAGTAAAACTTTTAAAATGAATGGCCAAAGTTATTGTAATGTATGAAATATACCTAGATGCTACGATCATGTACACCTAGGGATGTAATCCATGTTATGCCCAGGTGGCACCGTGGCTCCATTATTAACACTGTCAACTCAACAAGCAGGTCCTGGATGAATAGAGTTGAGAACTGGTTATTACTAGTTATCACCAGATATGAATAAACAGTGTTTAAGTCCAAGGTGTTGTTGTTGTTGTTGTTATTGTTATTTTTAAATCTGTTTGAAGAATACGGATTGGGGGAAACATCTCGCAACTCCCTGGTTCCACCAAAAACAGGTTAGCTTCATGACCTCTTCACCATGAGACCAGGAAGAGAACAAAGTACAAGAGGGTACAACTCACAAGAGGAACAAAAAGACAAGTTAAGGCCATGTGTCCTGGAGGACTAAGATCTGGACCCAAGACATCTGGAAGATGATGGAGAGAGTGAAAAGACAGAGAGAAAGAAAGAGAGAGCATAGAGTAAAAGGGGAAGAATTCATGTCTATTTTTAAATGTTCATTTAATTAGATGTCTTGCACTTTGCTGCAATATGCATGAAATCAGACTAATCTGGTGGAAAGTGTATTAGAAGGCGAGCAGTGGTGGAGTGGAGCAAGATTCATAGAACCACTGGAGCGTGTTTTCCTGTGTGTTTACTGCATGGCTGAAGACACATTATGTATGGAGAGGTAATGATTTCCTCTGATCATAAAGAGGCCTTGTTTGTTTATCATATTAAATCAGTCTTTTATCTTCCTTTATTGTATCTCTCATCAGTTGGACCACCACAGCTGAGTGACTGACTGCACTGGTTAGATACCAGTGGTGAGGTGTAACTAAGTACTGTAGTACTGTACTTTAATGCAAAAATGTCTTTTTTGCTGCTAGTGGTCTCTCAATCAAAAATCCACAGGATAACAAAAGATGAACTTTGGTGATGTTGTAAAATAGCATGGAATCATGGGAGTTGTTGTCTTCACTGTTAACAACCAGCATTGCAGATAAAAATCTATCTGATATGACTCAGGCAGAAATCATGTTCACAGATGGAGAAATGTATTTAATTTTATTCACCTTATGTTCGTCACATTAATTCACTTTACATTTGGTAACATTAATTCATGTTATGTCATTTTATTCCAGAGAAATAGATGCACGGAACGTTAGCTTATTTCATGTTAACTTGCCATTAGCATTAGGTGTACATGGACAAACTCATAGAACCTGTTTATATTCTTCGTATATATGTTTGTCATGCATGCATATGTAAATGTATGTGTGATTCAAACGTAATTGTTGCATATATAAGTACATGCAATCTTATGATAGATTGTACACAAACCTACTGTAACCCAAACATTTGTAAAGCTATTCATTTAAAATGGTTATCATCTTTCAAAGTACTTATCTGGACCCTACAAACAAACTGGTACCAAAAAGTTTTTGCCAGTTTAGAATGTACTAAATTCTGGCCTGGCCTTTGTACTAACAAGTCACAGGCTGTATTATAAAGTGTTACCAAACGTGCATCTGTCAACTAGGGGAAACTTGTTGACTGCTGTGTTGACCACACCCAAATAGATACTGTCTAACTGTAAGCCATGAAACAAAAACTGAAATTAAAGTGAGTGATAGACGCTCACTTTCTCCCACAGCTTGACAGTCTTTACTAAAGGGGTGTGAACTCACAGCTTGAACTCTAGGAGAAACATAGAGAAAGGTATGTGAAAACACATTTAATTTTTTCCCCAAAAAGTGCATTTTAATGGTAAATATTATCATTAATGTCTGTGCAAGGAAATTAGTCTGATGGGAAGTGTGCTGTTAAACTTTCGGTGGAATATGTTGATGTGTGTGACTCAGCTGTGAACCTCCTGACTGACAACAGCTCACGTATCCTGGTGTTTGCAGGTCTAAACGTTTGCTCCTTTTCAACTGTCAGAAGCTGCAGCAAACCGTCATCTTCTCAGATCCTAAGTGTGTGTGTGCCATACACTATTATAAATAATGGCAAACCAGTTCGACATCATGTACAATGGCACCACCAGGGCAAATGCTCGATCCATCCTGGCCAATGGTTTTCGCCAGTCGGAAGATGGGATGTTCGGCCGGGGCGTCTACCTCTACAGAGACCAGGAGGATGCTAGACGCTTTCCAGTTGGTCACCTCAACTTGGGTAATGTGATCATCATCGGTCATCAACACCATCCACGTCAGAAGACTTGGCATGACCCCAGATATGGTCCAGTGTATGACACTGCCTCAGTACCTGGTGGTTCAGAGGTTTGTGTCTGGGATCCCAGTAAAATCACCATTTACCTGCCTTTGCTGCCACCGTGTGTCTTATCCTAACGCCTTAATTGGGGAGCTTTAAGAAATGCTGAGCTAACTGACCGCTGACTGGATTTATATTTACTGTGAGAACATCATGAGAGTTGTATTAAGCAAACAATAAATGAATAAGCATATCTTCCAAAATGTTACACTGTTCCTTTAATATGTGATTAGATTACTTATCTCATATCATTTTTGTTGATGTATTTGGTTTGAATGTTAGCAATTTTGTTCTCTCAGCTTAAATAACACATATATCCACCTAAAAATGCAAACAAAATAAATATTACTCTGCATTGTGATTTTGTGATTTTGGAGTCTTTCCTCATTTGTCTCTTGGTTTCTTGTCATACTTCAGCTGGCCCTAACAGGGAAACAGTAAACTTGAGTTGCAGTTGGCTTTTAGACTGTCCAGTTTGAACCCAATCATAACGTGTAGCGATAAGATAAGCTGCTGGACTCGAAAGTGGGAAGAGTGCAGTTACAAAGAGTGCAAATATAACAAGACAGACAGACAGACAGACAGACAGACACACACACACACACACACACATAAAATATTAACTATGGAAATTTACACCAGTGTATTATCAACCTAATAATCCAATATATCTGACTTGTAACAATAAGTGATGGCCAGAAGAGGGGGCCATGGCCACCCTGATAGAATTGCTGCTCCCTACTGACCCCCGAAAATAATTGGAGGCCATTACTTCCTTAGGGAGGCTGTGGTGTACTACCTATCATGTTGGCATAGCCTATCAGGAAGGTGACTAAATTATGCTCTAAAGTTTAGCAAAATTATGGTGAGGGAAAAACTGGCTCGTCCAGTTCCAAAGGGTTCCTTTGAACTTTCTCCTCATGATGTCTGAATAAAAATGTTTTTTTGACTGCAAAATGAGTACCCATGAGTCTCTCCTAACCTTGAGAGGGCTTAATCCCAATGTTTTATTTCTTGAAATCAATCTACTCCCTCAAATTAAAGCTATTTATTTATTTTTTTAAGGAAAGGGATAACCAGCCTATTTAAAGAACAATGAATTGCTGAACATGTACAGATCCATAACACATTAAAACAGGAGTGTTATGCAACTCTATTGTTTACTGTACCAGTAATAGTCTACGTACATCAGATATTTAGTAATTTCTAATTTTTAATTAGAAATTAAAGTATATTAGTATGTGATTCCTTAACTATTTATATTGACATAGTTTTCAACTAGCCTATATTCTTCAACGGCATAATTGAATTTTTGAAATTTATTAATGGGTTTTGGTTTTGTATGCCACCCCAAGATTTCCAGTGGCCCAATCTGGCCCAGTATTGGGGAGATAATCCGCTCACTCAGAGAACCAAGATTACAAAGTAACTGAATGTGACATGGCCCTGTCACTCAGAGAGAGCTGGATATTGTTGTTGGATCATCCCCAGGCATGAATGTACACTATTTAAATGATTTTACTACATGCATTATTTATTCGTATACCACTGCTGGAAAGTCATGAGTCAGCTATATAGTATAGTAGTATAGTTATATTCACATTTTTCATCTTTCCTACAATAATAACTATCCTAACAGAGATTTAAAAAAAAATAAAATAAACAAACAACAACAAAAAAACAGCAACAGTATAATTTAGACACAAAACATATATTTTACATTTTAAACAGTTTTGGCCTCAAAAGACGAAGAATCAAATAATTCAGACATCCCTTTAGTCACTGTCCCCATAGCATTGCATTGACAGGAGAGAATACTGTTGGATTCTGAATTAATTTTTCAGTCCAGAGAAGCGTCAGTGACCCTCGATAGTGCAACCTGGCTCTAAATATTTTAAGTTAATTTGTTTTTCTTTGGGTCCTCTGCAGTCTACTCAGTGGTTAGACTGAATATATTTAAAGACATACTAGGCTGAATTTCCTAGAAACACAAAACAAACAACAAAATAAAAACAATATATAGACTCACACAAAAGAAACCCCTCTCAGTCATCACTTACGACCCACTCTCCTAATGTGTGGTGATGTATTTATCTACAGAAAACCTGTCCTAAAGAATAGCTTTACTAAAGCAATATGTTGCCTGTTAATTCCAGTTATAGACATCAATGTGCACCTGACACTGAAACTGGAACCTGTTTCTATTTACACCTGCTCACATTTTGTTGCTCCCATGTCTCAATGACTGCTGATTTCGTCTTTTCTTATTGAACAGTTGCTCAGAGGGATCTTTGTCTCTTTCAGCTCTCAGTCTGGTTGAACCATTGTAAAGTGTTTTGTTCTCCATGTACAAAACAAACCCTTCACACAACATATCATCTATTTGAAAAGAGGACCTTCTACAACTTTTCTATGGATGGTGACATATGGTGACATCCTCAAATCAAATAGATGACACAGAGCACCCCATGTAAGTCTGGACAGATATGATGTTTGTACTGTTAAACATGAAAAACAGAACAACTATCCAATACCACCCATGTGATCAAAATAGATATATACAGTAGAGCCCGAGTTGCTGTCATCAGACAAATCTGATTGATGACCTAATTATGTGACTTATATTGTGCCTAGAATACATGCACAGATTTCTACGGATAGAGTGTGGAAGAAAGGATGTAAGTGACCGAGAACACAGCAATGTTGGAGAGTAGGAGTAAATAAACAAATGAATGAATAATTAAAGACAACAGATGCATTAACTGGTTGGATCCTCTCTTGTTTTATTCCCCCAGCACGATTTAATTATAAATGTAACTTGTGGTGAACACTATCTGGCTTTATATAAAGGTTTTATACAAATCAAGCTGCGATATAGCAAATATTGCATATAGTTGATGGATTATGTAATTTTAGCACGTTGGTCTGATATCAAGTCATGGAAACCAGTTAAAACACCAGGGCTGTAATCACGTATTTAACAACTGAAGTGACCATTTTAGAGCCTTTCAAAGCAAAAATCTCAGATCGGGGGTTCTTCATGTTTTGTGCCATATACGTGACATGTTATACTATGACATTTTCATACTACAACTTTTAAAAGAACTCTTTATTGTTAAGTTTTAACAGTTTTACCACATAACTCCTATTTTATCTTCTCTGCTGTCTCACAATAAAACAGAGAACTGATCTCTTAGATCATCAAATAAAGGTCTACGCATTGTACCTTAAATCAACTCTCAATCAGATCATGGTGCTTTTAGTCATTATGTTCCCACTCTGTGGATTTCTTTTCCACCTGAACTACACTCTGCCACAACAAAACTAAAAACATCTCTCTTTTTGGAAGCTCTTAGTTAGGCTTTTAAGTGTATATTCATTCGTTTCAGGAATTAGTATCATTATTATTGTTTTTATCTCCGTTTTTTTAAGAATAATGATACCATCTTATTTTGTTTGTTTTTATCATGTTCTGCTTGTTTTTATATATGTAATACTTTATTATCTTACATGATATTTTATGTTTATCTTGTCTGATGTATCTAATTACACCTGTTTATAAAATGTGCCATATAAATAAAACTGACTTAACTTAATGACATTTTATGACATACTAACACTTTACAACAGCTATAATAATCGACAGTGACATGAAGCTAATTCTCCTGGAGGACAAAGATCCGGATCCAAGATGTCTGGAAGAAGATGGAGAAAGTAAAAAAACAGACAGAGAGAGAGAAAGGAAAAGAAGACAAAGAGTTAAGGGGGAAGAAATCATTCAGTTAGATGTCTTGCACTTTTCTGCAATATGCATGAAATCAGACTAATCTGGTGGAAAGTGTATTAGAAGCCAAGCAGTGGTGGAGCGGAGCAAGATTCATAGAACTGCTGGAGCGTGTTTTCCTGTGTGTGTACTGCATGGTTAAAGACACATAAAGTATGGAGAGGTGATCATTTCCTACGATCGTATAAAGGAGGCTGGCTTTGTTTGTGTATCATATTAAATCATTCTTCTATGTCATTTCATTCAATCTCCTGTCATTTGGACTAACACTGCTGAGACTGACTCACTGCACTGGTTAGATGTGCCACTGTTCATGAACATCTGGGCAAAAAACATAATTTGTTTCTTTCGTGTAGCAGTAAAAACCCACATCTGGCACCTAATAGAGGAGACCTGGAAAGTCCCTTAACTTCCACACTCACATCCACAAATACGGCCCTGAAACCACTGATCACTGTGCTGCTGCTGCTAGCCAAACAAACAAAACCGCTTTGTTGACCACACCCAAATGAAAGTTATAATATCATGCAAAACCTGAAACGAAAGTGAAAGATAAAGGCACATTTCCTCCTGAAGCCTGAAGGTGACTATAAAAAGCAGAGTGAACTCACTCTCTGCATTCTTGGAGGAACGCAGAGAGAGGTAGGTGAACACACTTTGTTTTTCCATAAAAGGTGCATTTTTACAGACGCAATAGGCCTACTGTGTGTACAAGGACACAAAGTTAGTTAGTCTTATGGAAACCGGCTTTTAAACCTTTGGTGGAATATGTTGAAGTGACTGACTTAGCTTTGAACTTCCTGACTAATAAAAGTTCATGTATCCTGGTGTTGGCGAGTCTAAACGAATGCTCCTTTTGAACTGTTTTTAACCCCAGTGAGAAGCTGCAGCAAAACAACATTTTTGTAAGATCAAGGAAAACTGAGAAGCAATCCATGTCAAAGAACTTTATGAATATATGCTAAGCAGAAAAAAGAGTGATCTTTACAGTCAAATGGGATAGTGTGTTAGGCTTGTGCCGATTTCCGGTTTAACTGGTTTAGTCCGGTTTAAGAGCTCCACCCGGTTTAATTCACGTCAACCGGATAAACGAAGAAGAATTTTTTTTTTCAGTTTGTTGCCCTAACCAAAGATACTGGATTACTACTGTATTATACAGCAGAGATGGGGACTTGAGTCATTGTGACTTGGACTCGAGTCGACTTGAGTCGCTGTTTTGATGACTTGTGACTTGACTTGACAAAAAATAAAAGACTTGAGACTTGACTCGGACTTGGAAGTTAAAGACTCAGGACTTGACTTGACTTGAGACACGATGACTTGAATGACTTGAGTGTTATTCGCATCATGTTTTCAGTTTGAATATAAAATTAATAAATTAATTTAAAAAATAATGTTGATTACCCGGTAGGAGCGCAGGCTGAGAATGGCGTTGTCATGATTGGATCATTACCCTGTCAATCAGTCATGCCCTCTCTATGTACCCAGAGCCCTTGAATAGAGAGTCGCATCATCTCCATTCACTCTAATGGGCCATGTTTTTCACAGCAATGGTGGTTCGCGGAGCCTCTCAATAGTTCTCGAAAGTAAGCACCTAGCAGCTATAAATCATGAGCATACAGTATCTGTTTCAGTGAAAGGTGTATATGGATTTTCTATTATTTTCATTATGTCTAATTTGTATTTAAAAAATATTTTATCCTTTTTCTATTGCCTCTGCTCTGAGCTCTGAGCTGCTGTAACGTGAATTTCCAAGGTTGGGATTAATAGAGTCTTACCTAACTGTAGTAAACTAACACTAATCCTCAAATATTAGCACATTTTACAAAAAAACAACATAAAGATGTAACTGTTTATGGCGTACTACACATATTATAAATCAATGTAGTTATTGACAGCTACTTACCAAAAATCGGAGTTCTGTCTTTCAGTATTATGTATTTAAACAGCCCGCCAGTAACTTCCGGGAACTATCCGAGGTCTACATGAGTCACGTGACGCACAAGCATGTTGGACTTCCGTTGTCGCGACACTGTTATATTCTACGGCACTGTATGTACCTTACGTGTTTATTGGAGAAACACGCCCTCTTATATCAGATAGGCTTTTGGTGGAACTTGTTTTCTAATTTATTTGCTAACATTAACCCCAGAAAACGTGAGCGAACATTCCGACCGGTTCATCACAAGACCGGCTGTACGTTTTATGAACGAGCAACACAGGGTTAAATGAGCTAAATGGGTGATTTTGGCCGCTGCCTTGGTTAGTGTGTGTGTGTGTGTGTGTGTGTGTGTGTGTGCGCGCGTGCGCATGGGGCAAAGTAAACATTGCAGTGATGAAGTCACCTAAAATTTGGTTAAAACTGAGTAACCTAGGTAACTTAGGTTGTAAAGTTGAGTGAATACTGTTTGAGATGGATTAAATGAAGTAATGGTTTTAAAACCGAGTAATTATTACATGCTAAAACACTACTAAACAAAGTAGATATTGCTTAAAAACAGATCATGACATAAATATGGGTTTAAAACTTAGCAAAGTAAGTAAATATAATTTAAAATGGAATAAATATGTTAAAACAGTACATGAAATAAATAAGATTTTAAAATGAAGTAACTTTTAGTTAAAGGTAGGATCTGGAGGATTTTCAGACAAAACAAAATATAGACATATACAAATGAAATCCTGCTTACTTATCACCTATGGGCTTCTACTCATGTGTGGTGGTGACTCTGTTTGCAGTGGTCCTGCCCTTTAACTCTATTTTGATGTTTTTGTGAGCTCAGACTGCTTCTGGGCGGAGATTTCCCCAGCCAATGAGAGAGCGCAGGTGCCGTGCCTGAGCGTGTCCGAGTGTGCACCAGCGCGAGCCTTGCCTGAACCTCATCTGTGAAGCCTTCTTCTGTACCTCCGGGCTCCGTACACCCGGGAGAGTTGAGCCTGATAGGAGGTAGGGCTGTCAAAATTGCTCAAAAATGACGTTCGAATATTCGTTCTAAAAATAACTCATAGGTTGAACCATTCGAATTTTTTTTTTTCGCATTATGTCCACAAGAGGGCAAACTAATACAAGGAAATATACTTCTGTATGTATTAATACAAGGAAACATAACTACTTGTAGGTATTTTTATTTCACCATAAACATCTTTGAAAACATTTACATACCTACACATTAAAACACATAAAACAATTATCTATAACATTACGTTATAAATGACCGCGGACCTCTCACTCGCCCCCCCTCTCTGACCCGTCAGGCCACACTGCCCGCGGAAGCGCTGCAAATAGCCTCGAAGCACCGAGAAGTGAAGCCAGTTTCCTTTCAGCGCCCATGTTAACCGATTGTGTCATCCACACCGGCTGCGCCGCGCCGCGCAGCTCCGTGGCTGCTCCCACCTCCCACTCGCAAAGAGGACAGCTGCGGTGGTGTTTTTTTTTTTCTCCACAATCGAATATCAATTTTCACATTCAAAGGTCCATTTTTTTTCAAATTCGAATTTAAATTCGAATTTAGAATATTCGTTGACAGCCCTAATAGGAGGGGCCAAATTTGAATGTGTGTTTACAAACAGCAACTGGAAAATCCTCCAGACCCTACCTTTAAAAATAGCATATGACGTTGATTTGGGTTAACAGCTGAGTTAATGAGGTGTATATATAGCTAAGATCAGATTCTGCAGGTAAAATTACAATAATAGGGTGACTTGACTTGGACTTGACTTGACCTATTACAGGACTTGACTTGACTTGACATAACCTGTGACTTGACTTGACTTGACTTGCCCAAGAAAAAATGACTTGGGACTTACTTGAGACTTGAAGGTTAAGACTTGAGACTTACTTGAGACTTGCACATGTGTGACTTGGTCCCATCTCTGCTATACAGTACTATACACTACTATTACTGCTATTATTACTGGTTTATCCACTGTCTTTGCCCTAACTCTTGGTGTCCTTCTGCTTCTTCTTCTTCTTCTTCTTCTTCTTGTGTAACCTTGTGTGTATTGGCAGTTGGAAAATTTTCAAACCGGCACAAGCCTAATAGTGTTATACATTAGTGTACTTATCAGTTATTTGGGGGGGATTTATTCCTAATTGAGGGCCTATGGACAGAGGGTGTTGTATGCTGTACAGATTTTAAAGCCTCTTAAAGGTACATCTGTGATCTGTGATATTGAGCTACATAAATAAATTGACTTGACTGAACGGTTTAAAGTCTTCACTTCACTTTGACTATCATGACTTTTGGCCCCAGTAAAAGCAACGCCTGCATTTTTGTCCACATCTTCACTGGAATCTATAGTAATGCTGACAGCTCTGTCAGGCTTCACAAAGACACAGCTGTGCTTTGAGCTAAATGCTCATATGCGTACATGCTCACCAGGACAATGTTAACATGCTGATGTTTAGCAAGTATAAACTCTATTGTTTACCATGAGGGACCCACACTGATGGTTAAAACTTTTATTTCTGGTCAGTCTTCACTTTGATGGATAAAAGAATGATGAGCCTCAGTTGTTCTTTTTTGATAATATGTGTTTATTCAACACAAATCTGATATCAGAGAAGATCTTGATATAGTACACACCAAATATAGCACATACTAGATTTTTAGCCTTTAATGGATAGGACAGACAGGTGTGAAAGGGGGAGAGAGAGAGAGGGAGTGACATGCAGCAAAGGGCCACGGGCTGGAGTCGAACCCACGCCGCTGCGGCAACAGCCTTCTACATGGGGTGCCTGCTCTACCACTAACAAGTCACAACAAGTCACCTCTCACTAGATTTCAGAATGAGACTTCTCCTTAAGACTTCTGTGTAAGGTCCTTTAAATGCTATCAGACATTTCTAATAGCAATCTGAGCTTGTTGATAGGAAATACGAGCAATAGGCTACTAAGGGATGTGATTCGATGGTGCACAAACTGCCCACAGGGAGTATGTTAGCAGCCTGTTTCACTGTTGCAGCTGCAGTGGTCCCTCTTAATACTAGACCAATTTCAAGAATTATTTTCTCCATTAGGCACTTAAACAAAAACATGGGAAAATATGATCCAGGTCAAAAAATACCTAAGTTTCCCTGTAATAGGTTCTATTAACTTTATATATTATAAAATAATATGGGCTATGGCTATTTTGATATTCAAGGTTGCTGACCCATGTGCTACAGGAAAAGCACTTTGTGTTTAATGCTAATTAAGAAATATCACCATGCAAAAACACAAAACTACAATGGTGAACATAGTAAACATAAAACCTTTAAAACATTAGCATATTAGCATTGTCATTTGTATGTCATTAGCATGCTGATGGGAACAGTCAACTCAAAGCACTGCTGTGCCTAGGAAAGTGTTCAGACCGTGGGGGGAAAATTGCAGCCTTCTCTTTCATTTAAATCAGTGCCAGTCCAGCGACACAACTGGGGTACCAACCCAGAGGCTCTGATTAAAAAATGCAAAAGGTTTAATCTTGATCAATTTTTGCTGGACCACAATGTAATGTCATCCAGCAAGGTGCTAGACTGACCAATCAGATACACAAAAGCACATATTCCTGGTAGAGTACTTCATAATGTGAACAATGTTGTTTTAATGTTTACCTAGTGATCATTGCATCAAAATATATAAACCTCTGTGCATCTGATGAACCTTTACACTGGCCCCCATTGACACAGAATTTTTTTCTGTCTAAAGACTACACAGAGTTGCTAGCATGGCTACAGACTGTTTATCTTATCTCTTTGGGTTGGAATAGAGCCTGTGGCTGCTGCGGCAGGGACATAGCCTTAGTACACGGGCGCCTGCTCTACCAGGTGAGCTACTGGGTGCCCCAAGATGTTATTCAGTTTTGATCAAGCAGTGCAATCACTTATCACTTATCACTGAATCATTTCTTAATGTGCAGATTTCATTCCGTCTGATCGTTCTGAAGTCTCAGCACTAATAATCCTCTTTCCTACAGTGACACTGACACCAACATGATGTACGCGTGGGCTGAAGATGACTTTGATGTGCCTGATGGGGTGGGTCGACTGGGCCTCTCTGAGCCCATTAATAACAGGAAGTACATCATGTACCATGGCACCACCAAGAGGAATGCTGAATTGATTCTGGCCAGTGGTTGTTTTCATCAGTCTGCAGACGGGATGCTCGGCCCCGGTGTCTACCTCAGCAGAGACCTGGAGAAAGCTAGCCGCTATCCCATTGACCACCCTGAGTATGACAGGATTGTCATTAAGGTTGTGGTCAATGTGGGGAAAGTCATCGCCATCAATTATCAAGGCCACCCTTGTCAGAAGACCTGGCACAACTTTGGATATGACACCGCGTGGGTGCCACCCAAGTGTGGAATGGTGAAGAGTGGTTTGGAGGAGGATTGTGTCTGGGATCCCAGTCGCATCAAGATCCTTAAAACCATCAGACCACGGCCAACCCAACCCTCAGGTGGATGTGGTGCATGGGGCTACATGTGAGCTCTGTTAGATGTTACCAGTTTATTTTGTATGTTCAAATGTATTTTTATATATTTGGATAAAAGGTAAAAGACATTTGCACTTTGTTACTGTGTCACTGTAACCTGAAAAATAAATGGTTCATATTAAATCTCAGCTGCTGTCTGGTTATGTTGAAAGCAGAGTGTGATGAGTATATTTTTATTTTGTGATGTTCACTTCTGGAATGACTACTGCCATTTTAATATAACTGAGATGAATAAAATGTTGAAGGTGGCAAAGAGGCAAAGCACAAGGACGCAGTTCACGCAGGTGGAGACAAAGAGACAAAAGTCTCCTGGAGGACAAAGATCCAGTTCCAAGATGTCTGGAAGAAGATGGAGAGAGTAAAGAGAGAGAGAGAGAGAGAGAGATAGGGGGCAAAGAGTGAAAAGGGGAAGAAGTCATGTCTATTTTTAGATGTTCATTCAATTAGATTCCTGGCACTTTTCTGCAATATGCATGAAATCAGACTAATCTGGTGGAAAGTGTATTAGTGCAAAATTCATAGAACTGCTTAAGCGTGTGTGTGTGTGTGTGTGTGTGTGTGTGTGTGTGTGTGTGTGTGTGTGTTTACTGCTTGGTTGAAGATACATCGGGCCTAATGTACAGTATAGAGAGGTAATCATTTTCTCAGATCATATGTACAAGGCTACTAAATCATTCTAATTTCATTATATTTCTCATCAGTTGGACCAACATTGCTGAGTGACTGACTGCACTGGTTAGATACATACAAATTCAATTACTTATTCAAAATAACATCTTAAACTAACAATAAATGGTCAGTTTATTGTGTATATATACACACATATGTTAATATATATCAATAACATGCCTATGTAGTGTTGTGTATTGTTGGCCAACTACAGATTGGCTGTTGCCATGAATGGTGTATTTCAGCTCATTCTATGTATTATCATATTTTAAATATTTGGATTTCTTGTACTTGCATTTGTGTAAATTAAATTTGTGCACATATTTGTGTCTGCAGACTAAAATTGGTTTTATTTAGGGATGATAAAAAATCGACGATCATTAATCGGTCGTTCTGAATTGATCGAACATGTGAAATTTAATCAACCGATAGGCTATGTAATGGTGTCAGAGTAAATGCAATATGTTGCTGTGAGCTTTGATTGATGAAAAAACACATTTCAATGTGGAGAGACAGAAGAATAATGTAAAGATAATGTTTAATACAAAATATGAGTGTACACGTTAACAGGTGATTTGTGCTGATTAAGATTTAAGAGAAATCTCTGGCGCTTGGACACCTGAGGGAGATATTTTGTGATCAAGGGACATCTGGACGGCAGCAAGATTAATCCCCCCATGGAGTTCAGACACTGGTGGTGGTGGCCGCTGAGTTTGAGGCTGCTGACTGCTGAGGCAGATGAGGATGATGAATCTGTAAAGACTAGGTGGTGATTGGGAGGTGGAGGGCACAGAACAGCAGCAAGAAGGAACTACGGCACAGGAAGAAGAATACATATTTAAAATGAGGAGCAGTAAGATGATAGGCTGACAGAGAAGGTGGTTGATGGTGAATATGATGAAAAAAACTGATGACTGAATTGAGCTAACCAGACAATAGCCCTTTTTAGACAGGAATTGTGCAAATTTGCAGGGAAGCCCAATCAGTCTTTTTTCAGCATTGACAGTATAAAAACAAAATCGGGGAGTGCGGCAAATTGCCGCCTACCTACTTTCGTTTATACAGAATGCGCCTTTTTCAGGGCAATAGGGGGCATGAGCAAGTAACAAAACGTGTAACTCAGCGTGTGACGTAAACTAGTCTAAATTAGGCGGTGATAGTCAGGCGGCGATTCTCTCGTAAATCAGCCTGTTCTTCACTGTCCCCATCACGTGACGGTTAATGGCCTCTTCGTTTGCGAGAGCAAGGAGGTTGCGCAGTTCCTCTCCTCAGCTGCTCATCTTTACAGTGTCTGTCAGGTTTGCGTTTCCCTCTTGCTACTAGCTGCTTGCTAATTCCTGCTATCAGCTGTTTCTTGTTTATCCACCGCCAGTGGGTCACACATGCAGCGTCATCAACAGCTCCTCCCACAAGTCTACAACAGCCCCTCCCGTTGTGGAAGGTCGCCTCGGTCTGTTTAAACTAAAAGGGTTCCGCCAATATAACTACCCTACGAGGTGGAAAATTGGGCGCCTTGGATGAACTCGCCATTCCGCCTCTGTGTGTACAGATGCTCACAGCTGGCCAGCAAAATGGCCCAACATTCGCGGAAAATCTGGCAGTGTAAAAGGGGCTAATGACACCTAGAGATGGTGAGTGAGCATGCATGCAAGGAGTGAATGGCAGGGTGAGAGAGAAAGTATTGTCTTCCTCTCTGAACTTTCACAAGAGCATTATTTGGTATTGTTTGGTATAAGCAAAGTTGTTATGTTTTTTGAACAATCAATTAATCAATTGTTAATTTTACCAAGAATCAATCAAGAAAATTACTTACAATTTGCATCCCTAGTTTTATCGTATTTTATCTTACATATGCATTTTTTTTGTAGAATTATATTTTAAAAAGTTTTCTTTTGTGACTTAATGTAAAATACCTCAGCCTAAGAGAGCTACTGAACAAATTACGTTGCTATCATTCTTATTACCATATTATTATTATTATTATTATTATTATTATGCTGTTTATGGCAGGTGTGAATATGCTGCCCGGGGCCGTAGAAATGTTGTCTCCGGCCCTGGCAGGGACTCCTGATGCGTCTCCTCTTCACTGGTTCTCAAATTGCAGCGACGTCATTCACTCTAAATGACAAAATAAATGCTTTCACTAAACTGTTGACTCGTTAACGGCCACATGAGGGCCTCTGTGTCCTGTCTGCCGCCTCCAAACCTCTCTCCTCATTTCAAGCCTTTGCCAAATTCCCTCCTCCCTCCTCCTCCTCCTCCTCTCTGCCTGCCAGTAGCCCCTCTCAGGCCGCGTAGGGGAGCATTCACACCCCGCTGTCGGCGTTTAGCGGATGGGGCTCTCAGCTTGAGCCGGAGGGAGGAGGAGGAGAAAGATGAACGGTAACCCGTGTACCCGCAGGCTGGCCCGGCGCTCCAAGTCCGCCCTGCTGGTCGCCGCTCTGGCCGTCCTGCTGGTCCAGACTCTCATCGTGTGGAACTTCAGCAACCTGGACTCTGCCGGCGGGGACGGAGGCGCCAGGAGCCGGGAGAAGAGAGAGGACCGTGCCGGGGGGCTCAACAAAGCCGACAGGGAGCACCCGCGGAGGGGGCTGCAGAAGAAGGGCGACCCGCCACCGCCGCTCGGAAAGGCGGCTGTTCGGCACAAGCTGCAGGCGGTAGGTTTGAATGATATCAGCTTCAGTATTCACGGTGAACCGGGCTGTGTGAGTTTAATTAGATTTTTACACCTGTGTTTCCTCTACCGACTGGAAAATGAACGTTTGTCCCCGAGGGAAACCGCATGGTAGCCACAGAGAAGATGCTACTGAGTGGCTGCAGCTGCTCGCCTGTTGTTTTGGCATTTGCATCAACACAATTTGGCCGCTTTCGTTCCCTTGTATGGAGAGATGTGTCGCTAGGCCAAACTTACTATCAAAATCTGCCAATTTAAGGTATCGATCAATGGCCAGTACATCTGGTAAAACGGAACTCGCCTGCCTTTCCAGGTGCTTGTAGCTAATTACCAGTTAAGTGCAATCATATCCAGTGTACAAACGGCATTTAAACAGTTTAATAACTTAAAGCTAGTATCAATGTGTTTGTTTCACCCAGTGTTCTTTTATACTCCTTGGTGTTAGCTTACAGTCAGCATGAGCAGAAGAAAATGGTGATGTTTGCTAAAGTAAATGCAGATTATAGATAATATACACGCCGAATGTTAAAGTACAGCAGGTACTGTCCTAAAATTTCTTCATGCGTATCTTCATTATATGTCTGTTCGGAGAAATTCAAGAGCATATATAATTGTGTGTTTTGTTAACGGACTTTGGTTTGACATTTCTCCACTCACCAGACAACAGTCTCTCTCGCTTGTATAACGTAATTGTCGTTACTTTCAGTGTAACAAATCAACATGGTCCTATTTTTATTAATCTATTAATTCTAAACCTTAACAGTTATCTCAGCTTTTCATATTAAGGTAACTGCAGCACATGATGAGTAACTGTGAGGGATAAAACTGTTAAATGAGTGTCTGTTCCTAGATTTGTGATTTAGGGGTTTAATTAAATCCCTTCTGTTGGTAATATTAAGGGACCCTACAGACACACTAGGAAACTGGGAAATGATTACGCCGTTTTCCTGAATCGAAATGTCTCCCTTCTGATACTAGCTATAAAAAAGACAATGGCAATTTATGTTAACTTGGAAACAATGTCATGTTGCTTGCCAAGGCAAACTTAAAAGTCTTCTTTCTTCAGCTCAGTATGCATCCTCTACATTACCTGTCAAGCTCTCCTACTCTTAGAGTTGCAGCGATATACCGCTTTCGTGATATAAAAGTTGGCAGTTATTATACCTTGAACATATGCTTATCTACAATACTGAAAAAAATGCCAGACATTGAATCTCCCATGTTTGTTCAACCAACAATAAGCCTTCCGTTTTTAATCCTTATGGGTCATTCTGACTGATAACAATACAAATTCTGTAATACTGTCATATCTTGAAACTGCAATATTTCTGAAATGTTATTGTATCATGAAAATCTCATACCATTGCAACCCTACTGTGTATGTGTGTGGCTTACATTCATCTACTGTCTAATGACTGTACAGTTCATGTATAGGATCTGGGGGAGATGTCCTTCATGTTTTTATGCTCAGAAAATAGTGTTATGTGTGTATGTGTTGCTTTGCCTGTGAGATCCAGGTGTTTTCTCATGTTGTTAGGACATGAATGTACTGTATGCTGCTCTGTGTGTGAGAGAGAAAGAGGGAGACGTGGGCTGTATTGCAGGCATCCGTTTTTTTACGTCCTTTCATTACAGTTAACCGGATGCCCTGTGATCTTCCCTCTGTGTGTGTGTGTGTGTGTGTGTGTGTGTGTGTGTGTGTGAGAGAGTGAGTGAGTGAGTGAGTGAGTGAGTGAGTGAGTGTGTAAGTGTGAGAGAGAGAGCGGTGGTAATATCATGTCCTGACAGTTATTGGCTTTTAAAACAGTAGAGATACATGCCAGCACTTTTTATAGGACAGGAGTTTGGGAGGTGAAGAGAGGCGGAGGGAGAGTACACAGGATAAAATGAAACAAAGAAGAATGTGAGAGGTAAATGAGTAATTAAAAAGATCATAAGACATGGCTGAGCAGTGAAATATCTTCACTGTTTATTACTCAGTGACGGTGTTGGTTTGATTAAGACCAGATCTGATGTTGAATCAAACGTACCTTACCAGTATTTTACTCATTCATTGTTTAGTTTGATTAATTTTACAACCTTAAACCTTAAAACAATCAACCAACAGCTCTGAATTTTCCAAAAACTCCTGTTCTTTTTGTTCTACTCCTCTCTCTCCCCTGGTTACTTTTCCGCACTTCCATAAAGTGTCCAACAGCTTTGAGATAAGTGCTTTTTTTGCCTGTGTTGACACACTTTATTCTCAGCAAATGTACTCTCGATTAACTCTGGCACTTGTGTTTCCTCTAAAATTTCTTTCACATTTGGTCTAGAAGTCTACATAGGGGAAGGGAGTTGGACGGATTTAACAACATGAATATAATTTAGCCTTCTTATCTTGAGTGGGCTAAGAGTGTAGGGCTGCATCTAACAGTTATTTTCATCATCAGATATTCTGCTGATTACTTTCTCATTGAGTCACTTTGTCTATGAAACATCAGAAAATAGGTCAAAATGTCCATCAGAGCTGAGGAAGACATCTTCAATGTCAGCTTTCCCTGTTGTCCAACCAGCAGTCCAAAACCCCAAAATATTCAACCTAATGTATGATCAGAGAAAACAAAAAGCAGCAAATTATCACCATTAAAAATTTGGAACCAGATCATGTTTTGAATGGGTCTCAGATATTTGTTTAACAGGTTGGACTTGGAACTCTACCAGAAAGGCCTTTGCCTCAGTTTGCATCACCTGCAGGAAATGTTTTGCATCCACTTGGTCACATTCAGTGTTGATTACATGGCACAATGCAGAAGTAGGGATGTCCCGATCACATTTTGTTTGCATCCGATCCAATACGAGTCCTTTATTTTGAAACCGAGTCTGATACAGAGTCCAATCCCATACTTTGCAAAGCATTAAGAAAGGGGAAAAAAAAGAATGCATCCAAGTTGTCCCATAAGGTTTGTTTATCTTGGCTGTGATCTTTTTGGCTTTATCGTGGTCCTGGGGAAATTTGTATTTCCTTTTCAAAGCCTCTGCCAATGTTGGTTGGTCCTGTGGCTTTTTGCTTGCTGCCTCGAACTCGGCATGCTGTGATGGATGTTTCCTTTCCAGATGGCGTATCAAATTGGTTGAAATGAGCTCTGTCTTCCCCCTCGCGAAATGCTAGACTTGCTCATTTTACAAGTGGCTGTTGTACTGCCTTCACCTTCCAATGTATAAACGTTCCATATTGTTGACATTTTGCTACCGTTACTAGCTGCCCATCTGAACTCGCCCGCCTGCACAACGTAAAAACACTCTTTTGCGGCAGGGCCTGTCGTAAAGGAGTGTCGAAATGAGCGTGTTAATGTTGGGCAGGTGGGGGAGTGACGTTCAGACAGATAACTTGTTGTGGCATGGACAGCCAGCATACTAACGGTAGCGAAAATGTCAGCAGTTTGGAAGTATTATACATTGGAAAGCGGAAGCAACAATGAACAACATAGATGAAAAACCTGGCCATTTTTGTTGTTTTTAATTCAATTCAATTTTATTTATAAAGCCCAATATCACAAATCACAATTTGCCTCACAGGGCTTTACAGCATACGACATCCCTCTGTCCTTATAACCCTCGCAGCGGATAAGGAAAAACTCCCCAAAAAAAACCTTTTAACAGGGAAAAAACGGTAGAAACCTCAGGAAGAGCAACTGAGGAGGGATCCATCTTCCAGGACGGACAGACGGGCAATAGATGTCGTACAGAACAGATCAGCATAATAAATTATCAGTAATCCGCATGACAGAGAGAGAGAGAGAGAGAGAGAGAGAGAGAGAGAGAGAGAGAGAGAGAGAGAGAGAGATGCAGGTAATGACAGTAGCTTACAACAACATTAATGAAAGTAATAATATTATAGTTATAGTTCTGGCTACTGTGGTACAATATGTTGAAAGTATGTATTAATATCTGGCAGTATACATGTGTGACAATAGTCATATGTGTATAATAACAGTAGAAGTATGACTAATGACTAATGATGGCAGCAGCAGCAGGAGGCATCTGGCAGGACCACAGCAGCAGCACAACCACACACGTCACGCTGTCCAGGCACTGCTGCGATATGAGTTAATCTGAGAGACAGTGGAGCACAAAGGCTCCGGAGAAGAAGCTGAGTTAGTGACATCCGATCTTTTATTACTGATTCCGATTTTGTAAAAATAACGTGATCGGCGCCGATATGCAGAAGGGTTGCAAAGATTGGATATGATGCTGATGTTGGACTGCAACGATTATTTCAGTTATGTTCAGTTGTTTAGTCTATGAAATGTGAGAAAATAGAGAAAAAGGCCTGTTGTAATTACTTATTTTGTCTGACTGTTTGTCCACAACCTAAAGATATCCAATGTAATGCTGTCAAAGTTCTAGTGAAGGTTGAACGTGTGTGAAGGTGATGAACTCTGTGTGTGTGTGTGTGTGTGTGTAGGCCAGGTGTGTGTTTATTGACAGGAAGAAGCATCCTGTTTCCAATAAAAGAAAAAGTGTGCGTGTGCGCGTGTGCATGTGTGTGTGTATGCACGCATGTGCACGTGTAACGTGTACTGACTGTTGATGTCCAGTTGAGTGTGTTTATAGCACTTGTGGATGGCGCCACAGTTGCACAACTCTCACATTCATCACACCTTTGACATGGACACCCCCCCCCCCCACACACACACACACACACACACACACACACAGTGCTGACCACATGTGTATCAGAGCTGATTCCTATCCTAACAGTCAGGTCAGATCAGATTAAAGGATTGGTTTGGATCAGGTTTCTCTGATGGGATTTATACTTCCTAATCTAGTTTAGATTGTTTGATAATCCCTAAATACTGTGTGTGTATGTGTGCATGTGTGTGTCTGAGAGTATGAGAGAGAGCTCTTGTTCTTCTGTATCTGTGAGGACCATTTTAAGACCTTGACAGTGAGAACACTTTTTGAAAGTGAGGATATTTGTATAGATTTGGATTAGAAATG